ACTCACTCATATGATGTTTCAGGGGGAAAAAGAAAAAAAAAAGTGAGAATGTACAAACATATAAGTGTAACGTAAATTTTGGGGACAAAAGGAGGGCAATTCGTAAATAGTCATATTTTGTATTTCATTCAAACCAAGCATAATGACATGGTCAAAACTAACAAAATATCTTCATTGATCATAACATTCATAAGATTAAAAACTTTATTATATAATAAATCTTATATCAACATACGCATTTATATAATACCACGAATATTAACTAAATTGATCACATATATTATTTTAATTTAATTTCATTAATTAAATCACATACAGATATGAATTCCGAATTGATGAAATTAAAATTTTAAATGTTTGATGCATTCTACTCGTATTATTTTAAGATGGTAACACTATTGTACACTTTGTAGTACAAGTATTACGAGAACATAATATACTCCGTCTAATAATAATAGTAATAATAATAATAAGACAAGTATGATATTATCTTGTACAGTGGTGTTAAGTGAGTGACTAGGACAAATGAAAGGGAGCATAGCATAATGATAAAAACGAGCAAGTTGGAACTATTTTATTTTACGAAAAGTCATTAAGATGACACCTACCCCCATTTTTTAGGATAAGATCGAAATGAATTGGTTAGCTCCATTTCTTTACTGATTCATCTACGATCTTCCAATTGTAAATGTCGACATTTCTTATTTGGACCCACCAAATGCTTTAAGGTACGTACATACATACGGTGTACTCATTTCCTCATACATACTTTTTTATATAAGTACAAAACTTTCCCTATAAATTAAATTTCAAGTGTATAACAAAGAAAAATACAAATTATTAAAGAAATCGTATTGTGTTTTTTTTAAAGAGGATGAAAAGTACAATACAAATTTTATTACTCATCATAAATTTTATATATTTACTCTCTTATGAAGTACGGAGTATCTTATGATTCTAAGTATTCCATGACTCCATGTAAAATACTCATTAATTCGGTCTCCATGTTTCTAAAATTTTATATAAAATTGTCTTAATTAATTTGGATTTTTGCATTGATTAACACTATAGTACTATGTCTTATATTCAACTATTTTGAATTTTTGATGAAATGATAATGATAAGTTAATTTCTTTGTAGCGGCCGGACCAGTGCTTGCTCAACTCTCCCCGCTTACTCACACTCATGTTACAAATGCGTAGTAATACTCAATGCAAAAATGGAATTATACTTGATCAAGCCAAACTTAATACGTAGTTGTTAAAAAAAAAAAAAAAAAAAAAAGGAAAGGATTAGCCCTTCTCGCGAGGGGTGACTATTACTATACTCACTATTTAAAAGATACCGGTTATAGAATCAAACCAACAACAAGAGACAATTCATAATTTATCCTCCATATCTGCAAAATGAAACTCGTAAAATTTCTACTTCAATTCATAATTTCAAACAACCTCTCAACCATATCTTAAATTTCGAGTGCATGCAATGGAAGACCCTACCAACACCTAACTTGGTTAATAGCCGCCACCAAAATAGAAATGTAGTATCATTACATTAAGATATACTATCAAGTAGGTTGCATTTGTCAACTTTTGGAAAGACGAATTCCTGAACGCATCAACTCTTCAAAATAATTAACTTTTGTCTTTTGAGAAAGTTATGAATGTAGGGTTTCCTCTGTTGTATTGTATTTTCCATTATTGTAGTGTTAACGTTCATTTTATTTTGTTTTGCTTTATCTAGGTCGCTGATTTCTATATTTGTTTTTTTTTATTTTTTTTTTATTGTGTTTTAGAGTATGTATAACATTAATAACTATAATTATTTGTAGGCAATAATAAATATATAGTGACAATGATCGGTAAGGCAGTAAACATGTCTAGCTAAATTTAGAGATTATTAGATTTATTACCCTTACAACTAATAAGAATATATGATAGACATGCATGCATAACAATACTCATGATGTTGAATTAATATGTAAGTTTCATCAAAATGTTCATGGTTTAATTTAATGTAATTCAATCCTAAAAGTAAATTTCTACTCTGTAACATATTCTATTATCACTTAGAAATTATTGAAATAATAAAAATCACTTCAATTTGTATTTAATATTGATAGAGTATAAAACATATATCTGGGCCTCAACCATCAGCTTAAACTTTTGATTGAATTGGTCCTCTAACATAGTATTAGAGCATTCATGAGCCTCAACCATAAGTTTAACCTTTTGGTTGAATTGATCTTCTAACAAATATGATTGGCCATTTTTTTTTAATTACAAAATTATACATGAATTCATTATCATTACCATATTGTCTATCAAATTAGTCGCGATAGATATATCCATGGGCCAGCGAGTGGGGCTTGGGGTGGGTGAAGTGCTAATTAATCAGTTGAGCTCCTGTCACTTCCACGGAGGTCATCATCAGATAAATCTTAAATTCTTTGCTTGCAGTGCTCTTTATGTTGACTATTAAAGCTTATACTCCATAGTTGTTACTATGGAGTATCTTACTAAGGTTTCCACTAGGCTAAAGAGTCAAGGTTAAGAGCAGGCTAAGTATAATTTACTCAGACAGTGTTGCTTTCAACATTGACCTAATTTCACTGAAGTTGATTGTAAGATAAAGCAATGAAACTAACGATTATGAGAATATAATATCCATGATTATTGTTTGTTGGATTAAACACAACCAAAGAACATTGGGCCGAGTAGGACAAGCATGATATGCTATTTTACATGTTGGGCCATTGATTGTGCTAGGTCACATATTTTGAGAGGAGCCGTGATAATCCGCTACCCGATCCAACAATAACAAAGATTTTTATAAACTGAAAGCAATTTTGTTAAAACGATAACATTTGAATCAAACCCACAAAATCCCAGAAAACAAAATCCATATAAACTCAGATCAGGTATGCAACAATTGTATACAAATCAACAATAACAGAAAAAAAATAACAACTACAATATTCAAATCAACAATAGCTATCACCGACAAACAATTTGCGCCGTCATCTTCAACCCCAAATATCTAAATTCAACTTATCTACAAAAGCTTGCAAATTCAAGCGAAGGGAGATAGATCCGAGCTTTACGCTTAATTTCGCTTTACATGGGATCCCGCCTCTCCTCGAGATCTCCGCTTAGTTTTTCTTTGGTGGTTTCCGATGGTTGACTTATGGGTTTCATGAATTTGAGCTTAGTAATGATTTTATGGATTTGGAGTTTAGTAATGGTTCATGGTTTTCCGGTGGAATCCTTAAAACACCCCTACCTAGATGCTAGATGCTATATGTTCATAGTATCATATCAATATATCATTAAAATATACAAACAATTTATGTATCTGAAAATATGTACATCACCCATTCTAGGTCTCCTCTTGTACCTTAATACTCCGTTTTTGTTCCCTCAATTAGATTACTCGGTAGTAATTAAGTACAATTAAAATTGGGCCTGAACTTATCATCTATTTACTGTTTTACTATCAATGTAACGTCTACTTTAAGAAACAATTATTGGGCTCAAACCATGACCCTTTTATACCTATGGGCTCAAAATATGGTCCAATTTTCTTGAAAGTTGTTTCTACAGATATAATTTCATTTTAGATACCAAGTATTAAGACTTATTCAATGCCTATTGCAAGAAGCCGAGAATATCTCATAGGTCAATTCGGATCGGGTTAGTGGACTAGACTCTTTGGAAAAACTTAGTATTCGTACCATCATATATTTGTATTAGAATTATTAATGGTCGCAGGTTCCAAGTTCTGCTATACCCAAAGCATCTAATTAGAAATTTTTTTAGACATTCAGGTAATTTTTCAAGATACAGCTTACAGAAACTTTGGACAAAAATCTGGCGAGTGCCCAATTTGTGAAAATTAGAACGTGCTTAAAAACAATTCCAACTTGCCAATTAAAATAAAAAGGTGTATGAGTTGAAGTACAACTTGCAACCCCTTTATTAAAAAAACAAAGTACAAGTTGAGCAACTCTCAACAATTTGGAGACAGAATATATTGTTTGCCACACCAGTGATCATCAAGATCTTCATTACTTTATTCCATTTAACAGAACAAACATGTTATAGCACATTTTTTATACTACTACTAGTAGTAGTAAAAAAAGTTATAATTAGGTAACCTTGACTCTTACCTGAATAAGAACTAAAAAGTGAGAGATGATCATATGGATTATAGAGTACTCGATTATGACACCGTGTTGGCATGTAATTTGACACAAATTTCACAATTGTTAATATATTGAAACTGACACCGTGTTGGCATGTAATTTGACACAAATTTCACAATTGTTAATATATTGAAACTCAATTATTCAAAAAACTAACGATATACTGATACATTACGGAATACTCCGTAACATTTAATTTTGTTCATGGTTAAAGATACTAATATGAGTAGAACTTAATATAATATTGTTATACGTCTCATCAGATTTACGTTGAAATTAGAAAGTGACTTCATAAAAAGGGCAAAGAGAGGAAAAAAAGGTGACAAATATAGAAAGTGACAAAGGAGCATAAATAACACAAGGGGCCTTCATTCACGTGCTGTAGGACCAATTTCTCATTCGGTCACTTCCAACAGAAAAAAAAAAGGCTCAAATCTTTACATTCCATGTTTCTTTGCATTTAAATGATAAAGTTGTTTATTAAGTCAAGGTGGTTGCAAGCTTGCAATTATTGATTTTCATGATATTTTTGGCTCTTTCATGAGTGTTTTAGTAATCAATCTAATCATAATACTTGTTGCACTTTCTAAACTTAGCTTGTCACTCTCATTACAACAAGTAATACTCTCCCGTCCAATTTAGTTGCCAAGAGAGAATATATTATCCTCGAGACTGGTCTTGCTGTTTATAGCTCAACTGCTATATCGAAATGGAGTTTCAAACGAAATTTTAAGCATCGCAACTTATGAATCACCACTTGATAGTTGATATTAGGATAGAACATTAATAAGTAGGCTTTTTGAAGCATTGGAATAGCACTATTTGCTCGTGATTCATATTTAGTTATGTAATAGATTCTAGTACAGGAATAACAACGTCGCATAATGAGATGTTGGTAATGGCTTAAATAAGTAACTCTCCTTACCACTCTAAATCACATGATGACATACAAAACATAAGAATGCCAAAATTTTGGACCCTTTTTTCCATGAAATGGTATCAAAACCTCTATAGACACATCTCTTGATGCCAATTTCCTAAACTGAAATTCACCAGTAATTTGAATCAAGTGGAAATGCCGGAGTAATCATTTGAAGAAACATCATGGCCAGGTGCAATCTTTTGTTTCCTACCATATCGTCTTCTACTATTATCACGATTGCTGCTACAATTACTACCACCGCCTCCTTGAGTTCTTGCGATTGTTCCCTTTATCCTTCTCGAGTCTCCCCTGCAATCCATCTGTCTTCACGAAACCATCCATAAAAACACAAGAGAGGATTAAAATTAAGCTAAATGTCACAAAGTAACAGTTAAAACCTTAAAACCCAAGATTATCAAGGTAAGAAAACATGTGTAATACTAATACCATCTATTGACATAAATGGAGTGGATGACTATGAGCTAACTAGAAGTCAGCACTCCTCACTTTGCATAATATTGGGTCTATACACATAGATGTGTTTAACGAACATCTACCTAGAAGACGGGCTAATTGCCCAAGAATTAGGCAACATGAGGCAAAATGTCGATAGTCCCTTAACTAACTCACCCAAATTTAACTACACTTTGCTCCTTGGAATTGTCTAGGACATTTTGCCTCTGGTTAGTTGCCTAAATTGTAAGTCACTTGGAAATTTTCAATTACCTAGTTCCTCTATAAGTATTTTACTCACCAGAATGAAGTAATGATTTTCCAGGTATCATCCAATCCATCCTGAAACAAAAACAGCTCTCCGAACAATCAAGTTGAACCGTTCAAAACCCCAAAAGAAAAAATAAAAAAGTTCAGTCATTTCACTACCCAAAATAATATCGACTCTAATCAATGACCTTAGGGGCTCTAGTATATCATACTAAGAAGGGTAACCACTCGAAGAAGGAAATATTTTGTGATGCTTGTACTTACCCCTAAACAGAAACTCTCAAAGTTGATATCATTGAAGGATGAAGATGCGTCTGTTCTATTCATTCCTACTGAATTCCTCTTGTTATTGATGCATGAACCTTCAATAGAACTGCCATACGAAGATGAGCCAGAAGAGTTCATCCCCTGAGATGAGGTTGAAGCGAATGCATCACAACTGTCCCTCTGAAACATATCTTCAAATAACTCCTGTAATTGTTCAAAGCTTTCTTCGCCATTTTCCTGTCAATTTCATAACCAAAAAGAATCACTTCTCCTACATAAATTGCTGTTTGTCATTAAGAAAAAATTATTAAAAGTGCATATTGGAGAATTTAATTTCATAGTTTCTCAAAGGCATCAACAAACATTGATGTTCAACATTATGCAGCCACCATTTAGGAATGAAATCCATAGAGACTAGCCCTACACAGCAAGTTGTCTGATAAAAGCGGCATCAGTTGTCAGAGCAGCTTCAAGTGTAGACATTGCAGTATGCGTCACTAATATTACTGGACCACAAAACTGAAACATCTATTACAGTAGTGAACTTACTAGATGTCAGTCCTTGTTAAAGGGGACACCGAATCTTTAATGGAGGCCGGCCTAGATACTACTTGCCTATTATGACCCAAATCAGAAAATAACTCCAGATGTGAACAAGAAACTGAGATGTGTATCTTATCCACAACCACAAAAGTAGTAAAGGAGAAAAAAAAGGCGCAAATTAATTATTAACCAGAACAAAACATATTATCAGGTGTTGAACCCACTGAGAGCCAGGGAGGGGGGGGGGGGGGGAGTGGCTGAATGCATATAAGCAAATATTTATGATATAAATGTGAATACAGTGGAGCATATAATTCTATGACCAAAAAGCTGGCAGTGACAAAGTAAAAAAATGGCAATGATTAAACTTAACGAATGTTTTGTAATGGAAAACGATTAGACTCAGAAACTCACACAGGGTTTGTGTTCGCTCATCATGGTTACCATCTCATTCAGAAAGTCGCCCATTCCCTGCAATTAAGCCAATGTCAAGACTCAGGAGCTCATCTAAAAACATGAAAGACTCATATCATGCAGGTGTTCAATCATAGCTTAATTAGATCCCTAAAAAGTTATATGAGGTTATGGCGGATTTGTGGCACTTGATTAACTTGTCATAAGATCATATCATTACAACGACATAATAAAGGTTGCATGTAGGATCACCCTAAGGCTAGCCCTAGAGACCTACAAGCACTACTCAGTAGACATGAAGGGGTTAGTAGTGAGTGATAAATGCATTCCTTAAATTTACAAGGACACGCTCTTGCTCACTCATCTAATTAAGGAACGACGTTAATGCACAAAACATCAACCATTTGGTAAGGTCCATGACCATTCAAGTTCCAGCCCATCTTCGACATTCTGGACATCATAAAGTCAGAAATGAACTATATACAAACAGAGAGAAACAGAGAACAAACAGAAAAAAGAATGCAGGGTCAAATATCCCCTTATTTTGGGAAAGCTGGTGGCCGCGCCCATCACATCAAGGTGACAAGATTCGAACCTATGGCCCTCTGTACCCAAAACAGATGCGCTGACCAGACTGCGCTACACCTCGTTTCACCCTCCGAAGCATATAGATCTACCCGATGGATCAAGACTCGAACCAAACTTGCTCATCCTTTTTGGACCCTTCGCCCGCTTAGGTGGACATCTGAGAAGGTATACTACCTTACGTAGCAGGACGCGAGGCAAGGCAGTCCACAACTGATAGTTCTTAAAACAATTGAGTGACACAATCACAAAGTATAGAAATCAATTTACTCCCTCTTCTCAAACCCCATCTCAACCTATATTCAACTTTTTGAGCTTAAATTATATAAATTTAATAATTGTTTAAATGACTAACATGTTCACCATGAACCATAATATACAATTTATACAGTTTATATCATTATATGTAAAGTGCAGGAGATCATAAAGCAAGACCAGCTGGTTCCGCAATATGGTATTAAGTAACTAACAGTTAGGTGAACTCTGGCTGAGGATCTCCCTTCCCGACCCTGACTTAAAGCTCGGAATTTGCCATATATAGCAATTATTGAGAAAAATCTTCAATAGGTACCATGAGCTTATTAATTCAATAATTCCCAACACATACTAGTGTTCTGCAAACGACACAAATTTAGATACCGGGGTCTAATCTTCCCAAATTTGGGCTACAACACAAGTGAACGATGTAATAATGTGACATTCATAGCTAATTGGCATCAATCATGAAACTTAATAAATCATTCCATATTTTCTTTCATCCACCAAATTATTAAACCATAATCCATACATAGAAACTAGAAAGCAAGAATAGCAATCAAGGACAAAAGAGGACTCACATTATTGTTTTCGTCATCATCATTGTCGTAAACTCCAACGTCATACAAAAACCTTTTAGTCTCATCGGATAGAACTGTTCCAAAGCACAAAAAAACACCCATAAAGTAAGCTCAAGCTGCATATTCCTGCCCCCAACATGTCCCTATTTTTTCAAGGTCCAGAAATTATTGCACGATCCAAAATCACCGTATCATATTGCTAATTTGGCTCCATATTATTGCCCCCAAAATTGTCCCTTGCTATATTTTTGAGGTCTAGAAATAATTACGTGATCCAAATCACCGTATAATTACTGATTTAAAATATGCATAATCGTAAACTATATTCTCAAACTATATCAAATAACGAACACAAGGGTACAATTCCATCTATAAATAAAAGGTGCACAAGGTAATTTTCCTACTCATACAATCCTAACACATACATGTACTATAGTTACACACTAGTGCACCTAACTTCAAATATATCACTCGTAACTTCGTAAGTCACATTTGATTTTAATGGTCAACATAAACTTCATAAAGATCAATCTACCAAACAAATAGCGATCTAAGTGAATTGATCGAAAGAATTCATATACGAAGTACCTAATATATGAAGTATTACTAGGATATTTACTACCGCGATTAATTTATTAAAAATAATCGAGTAACAGTGCAAATCATTAGTCACGGGTACAAGGTTGTATAGTTGTATTAATGAAACATTTGAGGTCACCAAATGAAAAACTATTTTTTTTTTTTTAATAAAAATAGCCGAATCACTAACCAACCCACCAACAAATATAATACTGTAATTTTTTTTAAAAGTTGGGAAATAAACAGTGAAATTACCAGAATAAGCCTCTTGAATAGCTTGAAATTTCTTATTCGCTTCTTCCACAAACTTTGAATTTCCGGACGCAGAACAACGATCCGGATGCCATCTCTACCAATATCAATCCACAAAACAAAATTAAAACCCGGGAATTTTATTAATTCAAATCAAGTTCCGCCAAAGTAATAATACTTCCCGAACTAACAAAAACATAATAAAACATCCCGCAATATCACAAGATGAGCTACCGTATTACCCGCCAAACCCGTAGACAAAAGGTAGAAAATAAGACATCAATCTAACCTTAGCAAGCTTCTTGTAAGCATTTTTGAGGTCAGTTGGCGAGCATTCCTTCTCTAAACCAAGTATCTTATAAAAATCAACGCTATTTCTTTCTCCTCCATCTGCCATTGTTAAGATTTTTTTTTTTTTTTTATTGTGACTAATAAATTGTACTAGCAGAATTTATATATTGTCGACAAATTGGATTGAATTTGGCCAAATAATATAAAAAAAAGGCCAAATAATAAAAATAGAATAATTAAGTTGGAAAATGTCGGAAGTAACTACATATTTTTTGGGCACGGAAGTTTAGGGAAGAGAGAGGAGAGAGAAAGAAGGAGAAGATGATCTCCTTCTCTAAACTTGCTGAAACACAAGAACACTCCAGAAACCGCCACTTTATATACTTTTTAAATTCTCAAAATTAAAATTAAAATAAAAAAATTATGATAAGAAAAATGTTGGGTTTTTTATTTATTTTTTAAATTACCTCTTTTTTTAAGGAAGAATGAAGGGTTGGGATTGAAAGATGAGAGGAGATATTTTAATTTTTATGGTGGGATTTCTTTGTTAAATTGCAAGTTGAGATTTTTCTTTGTGTATAAAAAAATGTAATAATTAATTAGGGGTATATCCAGAAGGTTCTGTTTCAACTGTTTTGGGTGAGCTAATGGTGGTCCTAAATTAACTTTGGAAAACTTTTAATTTCCCATTTACGTTTCTGTTGCTTTCCCTAAAATACAAAAAACGTTTCTATTGCTATTTTTAGTTGGTAGGTCCAACTTATTAGTATAAATAATCTTTGCAAATGTAAATTGCTAAGATTTCTCATATGTATATGATCTTATGAAAATCATACATATGAAATACGTGTACATTAGGTACTTTTTTAAACCACAATTGAGTATCTAAAAGATATTAGAATGAAACACGTAAAAATACTAATGGCGAGATTATTATTACACGTAAAAATACTAATAATCTTTGCATTATGTAAATTGCTAAGATTTCTCTTATGATCTTATGAAAATCATACATATGAAGTAAGTGTGCATAGGTAACTTTTTTTAACCCACAATTGAGTATCTAAATGATATTAGAATGAAACATGTAAAAATACTAATGGCGTGTGTAATGTAATTTTAGAATAAAACACCAATCATACATTTTGAGCTAAAGTTCGCAGTATGTTTACTTTTTTTTTAAGTAAGGAGCAGGATCATTTTGGAATATAACACTTCTCACAGATAATTTGAGTCGAACTTCATGAAGATTTAGAGACTATAAGGAGTGGAAGTTTGTAAAACATTTTCTATGGAGGAAAAAAATTAATAATCATTGGCTATTTTTCTTTAATATTAATTCATATATTACTCCGTCTGTAAAAGTGATTGAATGAATTATAAACATGTTTATCGATTTTGTACTTTCACAAAAAATCTTTAATCAATCAAACCGATACACTAATGTGACAAATAATTAATCAAGGAAAACACTTTGTAATATGATATTTGTATGTATATCACTACTATTTCAATTAATCAATCAAAGTGTCCATGAGAAAATTATCAACACGTATCGACACGTTCTTTTTGGAAAAGAAAAAAAAAACACAAATAGGGATACGGTGGTTATATAAAAGCCTTAAAATCCAAATAAAGCATGGGATATGGGCCTTGAACTTATAACCAAAAGTAGTGATCTGAGTTTTTGGGTGCTATAAAACAATATCAACCTTCAAAACTTTGATATTTTTGTGACAATATTCAAATATATACCTTTCATTTGTGGTCCAATAATATACAGTTCGTATATATAAATAGTATGGAACTTTAATTTACTTGTATATATATAGATTAATATAGTCCACGTGATTTTCAGCAACACATCATAGCTATCATACAAAGGAAGGTGCTCGAAAAATATACCCTTCCACTCTAAGATCTTAATCTTAGGGTGATCCCAAATCTAATGGTTGCTAAGTGAACACACATACAAGAAAGATGGACCTTATATGTAAATCCGGGGTTAGAAGAATATATGGACTAAAGTTCGGGATTTATGGTAATCTTTGAAGGTTTGCAGCAACTATAAAGTTTAGATTTATTTATCCGTGAGATTGTTCTTATTACATGTCGAATTATGATAATTTTTGTAGTTAAATTATTAACGAGGTGTAATACTCTCCAATCAAAATACGTCACGGGTAATGTTGTAAGTATATCTGTGGGTGTGGTGTTTTTGTCTTACAAGCTGTACACAACAACCAAGCCCAAAATAAATTTTGTGTTGTTTGATGAGTACCACACTCTAAAGAATAAGATATTTCTAATTGTTGGTTTGTTAATTTAGCATTGAGTATTAGATGTAATTGTATAATCTCGGTTTCTAGTAATGAGATAGTGAGAACAAGTCACTTTAAAAGTTCTAAGGCACCTACTCGCAAGCTGAGGGAAAGAAGAGCCTTTTTTCCTGTTAAATACAGCAAGATGCATAATCCACCATTATCCTATCTTAAAAGCAAGTTGTTGAGTGAAGGAAATTTGCTTGGTGAAGGATCAACCTCAAGGCAAGGCTCTAGAAGACGAAGCTCATCCTCATTAGATAACCATTGTCAAATTATCCATGGTATGAATTTAAGATGTTATGTGTAGGGGGAGTGTATGTAAGGAAGGATGTTCTAGTATGAGCATTGATCAAAGCTCAGTTGGCCAAGTGGTAGTTGTAGTGTCATATATGTCATATATGAGAAAATTAAAATCTTTGATCTTTAAATAAGTTACAAGTTGTAATTAATTAAGTAATAATACTCCTAAGAAGGTACTGATATAGTTGTAATCAACTCATAAAGTAGATATTTAGAGCTATTTAGCAACAGCTTGCACAAATTGACCTTAAAAAATTCCTTTTATTATTTTGATTATCAATGGAATTTACCAAATTGACCTTGTGAGGATAAAATGGTCTTGAATAACGGCTGAGTTTGAGGATCAAGTGGATGAAGAAGCTGACAGCAGTATACTTTGGTTGTAAGGGGTTGTATCCAATTTTTGAGTCAGATTTTGTTTGCGACATCTTGTAAGTTTAGATCAACCTAATTAGATTTGACATGTCCTTTTGATTGAAATACTTGTACTCTTCTCCAACTGTCGATTGTAAGATTAACCCACTTGCTAAAAACGTCTTTACATATTGATTACATACTCCATCATTTTCATAGAGGTATGGGGTAATAGTTTAGGGATGGATAAATAGTTTCTCTTTGTTTGAATTTTGAAGTTAGTACTCCGTATTCATTTTAGACATTTTAAAAAAGTTATTTTTGTTGGGGTGTTCATCTCAAGTCCCACATGAAAAGATTAAGGAAGTGAAAAGCTCCTTATAAATGAGCGGCACACTCCATTAGTATGAGACTTTTTGGGAAGATGTCCAAAAACAAACCCGTGCGGGTTAGGTCCTAAGCGGATAATATTATACTAATGTGGAGTGGAGCGTGCATGCGGCCCAGCAAGGTGGGTGACCAGGGCCCGATAAATGGTATCAAAGTCGGACGGTTCGGTCCCGGGTAGGTGGCTACCGTGGAGTATGTGGGGTGTTCCTCGTGTGTCCTTGAAGTTTGGTTATATGTGCCCTATAACTCGTGTGTTTAAGTTGTGCTCTATGTGTCGGAAGTCCTCTTGATGGTGTTCAAGCTGGTGGGACCAGGGGTTGTCCTGTAACCGGTGGGGCTACCCTTGTAACTCGTGGTTGGAACGGGTGGACATGGTCTGATGGTTTGCGAACCATGGTAGCTTATGGTGTAATCAGGCGGCGGGTTCTGATGGTGTATCAGCGGTACTGAAAAAGGGGCGAGTAACAGATCAAAGTTTATTGTTCGAAGGAAGGCCATGAGTGGTGATGTTGTCCTTGATTTGAGGGAAGGATTGTTGGGAATTTCATCCCAAGTCCCACAAGGAAGAAATAGCAAGGTAAGGAGCTATATACATTGTGTATATAGCGAATGCTCAATACACTAGTGCAAGGTCTTTTGGGAAGGAGTCCAAAAATAAAATTGTGCGTGCTTGGCCTAAAGCAAACAATATTGTACTAGTGTGTGTATGAGTATGCATCGGCGGCCCGACAAGTTTATTTTAAAATGCTAGATTTACAGAGTATTACACTCTTACCATTTTAATATATGAAACAAAATCTTGTTTTCACCCAACTCAATAACTGTTGTTTCGGGGTTTTTGATGTGTCCTGCGGGAGAGTTACAATTCCAAGAATGCCCTTCGACCGCCTGTACCTGCAAAACCATGAAGACTCCGGTTGGGTGGAGCTCCGCCTCCGACGATCAAGTTAGTGATGTACGGGAGGAAGAAAGTGCGTAAAAGAGTAATTACTTCTCGCGTAATGGGAGAATTCCGCAATTAAGATTGCTCGGTTTTGGTGTGAGTGTATTTATGATTGTATTGAATGCCCTTTTGAATCCCCTATTAATGAGGATTCTCCCACTATTTATAGTGGGGAGCATTGGTTCCCATTTAGGGTTCCTAGGACACGTGTCAGCAGGGGATTGGAGCCCTGCTGACCAACGGCAAGGTGCCACGTGTCGCTCAGCCATTGGGCCACGTGGCTGGGGTAATTTTACCCCAAACATTTGCCCCTCTCAGGTGCTGACGTGGCAAGGTGCCACGTGGCACCTGAGAAGTGAGCTGGCGATTTTTTTTTTTTTTTTGAAGCCCCTTCAAATTCTAACTGAAGAGGGAAAAGCAGAAGGGGAAGAGTCGCGCCCCTTCACCTTCCGGGACAACCCCTATAAATAGGGGAGGAAGCACACGAGAGCTCATTTACAAACTTCGTGAATTTTCTTGAATTTTGAGAGCATCCGGCATTTGAGAGCATCCGGTACTTGAAATTCAGAGCACACGGAGACTTGATAGTTTTAAGAGCAGCCGGTTTTCAGACCGCCTGTGCAATAGCATGCAAGAAAAAGTTTTTCGAGAGGGTACCTCAGAGAACCCAGCCGGTATTCAAACCGTCTGTGTCTTCGCAAGCATCCCCAAGAAATTTCTTGAGGTTTTCAACACTCTGCTCTAGGTACCGTCTCTATTCCTTCTCGCTTTTCCATGTATTTCCGTTTGCGTCTTTTGCTTGCATTTTTGTTTACAAGTCCCATAGGTAGATGGACCCTTTATACCCATACCCGGACCATAGTTGTGAACTCAGCCGGTCAATTAGTACGGCTGAGTCTAGAACTGGATCTGCCGCCTCTGATCTTTGGAATTTCCCCTTTTCAACGCCTGTATCGACCGACTCTGTGTCTGTGCAGGACACCATGGCTAGAATTAGGGGGACAGCTATGGACCCCAATTACAGAGGCGGAGACTCAAACGAGTTATTGCCTGAAAATCAAGGCCTAGACGGGGAGGTTAGAGAACCATCCGGCGGTACCCCCTCCACCCCAAGCGATAGCATTCTAGG